TTTTTTTTTTTTTTTTTTAATGCTCTTTCCCGTAATCCACTAACGAACCCTGCTTCCGTTTTATCCGTGGGGAACTCATCCAAAATTATTGGACCCACACATACACCCTTTTAACCCAGTGAAGCCGTACTAAGATGCATCTCTTTGTCAGTCTTTGCAGCCGAGCTAACCTGCTCAGGACTGGTCAGTACTATTGGCTTCTCTGCTCCTCTTTTTAGCAGTCTGCACTCAACCACGGCATGAGCATGGGTCTTCCTATCTAAAGAGAGCTACATACTGACTTACAGTAGCTGTAGCTGAGCTAACTGCATCTACTGTCTCCCCTTCTCATAATCCCCATTTTTCAGACCTCTTTTTTCCCCTTTAAAAAAAAAGAAAAGAAGAGATCTTATGGGTAGTTCTAGTTAATGATCAAGATCTGTGTTCTAAGAGGCTGTCATTGATTATTTAGGCCCAAATATTAGCCACTGGCACCTTTTAAAAATACCTATATCCTCCAGATAGATGGATAGATCTATAAAAGATAGAGGGCAAAGATTGAAGTGAGCCCACTGTTTCTGAGAGAGAAATAATAAAAGGAAATGATGATCCACTATCGCCCATCATCCGTGTTGGAGCCCCCCCTGCTGGTCTGCAGCCAGGAGCTGGGTAACTAGTGCTGGTTCTGCCTCAGCGGGAAGTCCCGCATGCAGTGCTGGGGAACAAAGGGATGAGGAAGTCGATACAAGCTCTGCAAGCTTGTTCCTTGGGTGCCAGAGAACATCATGGCATTAGGATGAGGTCTGCAGGCCTCGTTTGTCCTCCCAGATGCCAGCCTGGGTCTGAGTTGGGTGTATGGTGGGATTGGCTCTCCTTTCTCCCAGCTGAGGTTGGAGGCATACGGCAGCACTTCTGCCTGGAGGTGGAATCGCTCACATCTCCGTATCACAGTGGAGTTCTCCAGCTCATGGGATGGAGCCCACTGGAAACGGTTAAACAGCTGGGTGTCATGGGCTCTAGGGCAGACATTATTGTCCCAGAAGATTTTCCCTGGGAGTGACTGGTTGGAATTGAGGGAGATGCCCTGCAATATGGTGCTGGCCAGCTCTTCATGTGTCGCTTCCTGGGAGAACTTGCACCATCCTCTGGGTACAGAGCTGGTACGACGGCTTCTGCTAGGATGCTCCCTCTCAGCCCAGCACTGTGCCCGGCTCTGCTCAGCTGGGAGAGGGGAGTTGGGCTCGCCACAAGAGATCAACCCTCCCTTCAGTAGCTTCCCTTTGAGCTGAGCAGTCTCTGACCATCACGCAATGCTGTAGGCCCCACGGACCCATTCAGCAACGTCCCTGTGCTGCCACAGGACAGTAGGCTGGTGGCTGCAGACCCTTCAGGCCTGGCAGTGGCAGCTCTCACTCCTTTTAAGACCCACCATAAGGCTCCTGGCTTGTGACCACATGTGACCTCCCTTCCAGCCCATGCTGGATCTGAACGTCCATGGAGCTCACCCATGCCCTTGCTTGGGGTTTGCAACCCCTTAGATTGAAAACCGCTGCCTGAGGGGTTTCTGCATCTCCAGGCCCTGACTTCCTGCTGTCCAGCAGCTCCCCCAAAGCCCTTGCACCATTTCCTGAGAGCGGATGCCCCTCCACAAGTACTGTGTGCAGGCCTCAACCCTTCTCACTGACACCCTCTCCAGAGCCCTCAGGCCCTGTGAAGCCAGCTGAAGAGAGGGAAGGGCTTGTGTCCACAGAACCTCCTTCTCCCATTTCCTTATTTATTTCAGCCTCTTCCCTTCCAGTTTCCTCTCCTCCTCGCTCATGCTGGCAAGGAGCAGTGAAACCGCCAAGGGATTACAGCTGGTTCCGGATGGTAATAGCCGGCTGCCTTCCCCCTGGATGGGGCCTGGCTGAATATGCAGGAATTAGGCCAGCGGTACCAGATGTAGAAAAAAATGTCTAAATGTCCCCTAGTGAGAAGGGCTGTGGGGTGGAGGTAGCTGGACTCTGAAGTAAGCACAAACCCAGACTTTGATCCTTACCCCACTGTCCTGTGAAGCCGGTGCCATGGCTGTTCTGGGAGCTACAGGTTTCATACAGTGTTGTGTTCTCTTGGTGCATGTGCCATGCGTGTGCCACGCACCTGCCCTGTTGCTCACCTGGGATGTGCAGCCCACAGCCCTCTGGGGCATTCCCAGGCACTTTGCTCTGTGGACACACAACGGTTTCTTCTTGCTTCCAAGACAGGCGACTTTTAAAAGAGCTGCCTCTTGCTGAGTCCTGGAGTCCAACCTCCTCTGTAAGGAATTGGGCTCTGCTCCAGAAGCACAAGGAGGGGGGTAGTGAAATGCTTCTCCCAGCTTCAGTAAGCCACAGCAGTACCTGGAGCTGCTGGCTGCCTCTGTCTTGGAGTCTCAGACGTGGGTCCCCTGTGTACTGCTTTCCCTTGGCAGAAAGGGTACCTGCTCCTTCCCTTTCATTTTTTTTTTTTCCTTTGGATCTGTCCTGTTCTGTTAATTCCGTGTATCCCCGAGGTAACTTTTTCCTTCCCTATTTCTTGATCCTCTTTTCAGTTCTTCTTGCTGCTAAATAATAACCGAAAACCCCGCTCTTCCAATCAAAGGAAATTTGTTCTAATGATAGCTCTTGTTGTCAGTCTGTGTAGCACCCCTGCATCACGCCTCTTTACCTTAATAAATTAATTCTGTAGCTTGTGTTTAGCGGCCTGGAAAAGATTAACAGCTTGCATGGAAGAAGATTTTCTTAGTGCTAGCTTTGTAGCCAGGCAAGCACTAAGATGGCCCCGCAGCTTTTGAAATGCTCCCTGCTTTCTACTTTGTAGTGTAATTTTGTCTACATGCAGCCAGTGTTTCTAGGGGCCTGTGCACCCCTGGAAACCCATGGGCAGTTGCCACCAGGGCTGTTGGGAGCTGCTCATGCGGGCATGGGATGGAAGGAGAAAGAAGCCCCCCAAACAGGGTCTGTGCCCCCAGTAGCAGCACCTCTCCTGAAGCGTTTAGCTGGCAGGACACCATTCTCACCTGTAATTCAAATGATGATATTAACCCCTGGGGCTGTGATTGGGTTACAGTGATTTTTATTTTCCTGTTCGATGATGAATCCTTGGAATGACTTTTTTGATTTCATTTATTTCGTGCGTAGATAGATTATATCGAATTTCCTTTTCTGTTCGTTCATTTTCCAGCCTTGTTTTCTTCCAGGTCTTGTTGCTCTCCACCTTCTCCTGCTGTGTCGCTGTGTGACGTGTCCACCTTTACCTCGCCTGCTTCGCTACCATCTCATCTCAGTCTCGAGCCGTAGAACACCTCGATGGCACGGCCCCTTTCATGAGAAATCAACCTGCTTTCAATTTTTTTGATTTTAGTTTTGGTTTTTAATTTTCTTCAGCCCTTCATCTGATAGGGCAGAGACAATGTTAATTCATGGGCCTCTGTTTCCTTGCTTAAACCAAGATGGGACCAATGACAAGGGGCACTGTTGGGTTAAATTGAGCATCCAGATGAATTCCTCTTACTGGTATTACTGTGCTTTTTGGCTCAGAGCCTGTGAGCTGCAGTATATGGACATGCTGCCCTGGACCTGTGCATATTCCAGCTGTGCCTGAGCACAGATATCCATCCGCATGCTGTAGCTCGCAGGTTTGAGGTCTTAGATGGTTAAAGTGGAAGATGCTGTAAAAAATTGATTCTAAAAATTAAACTTTCCCTACTGCTTCTGTCTGATAGTGTACTCCCCATCTCTTTGTCAGCAAACACTAAGCTAGTGAACTCCTGGTCCTGTTTGATTTTACTTTGTCGTTTTTAGGGCCTAGCTCTGAGCTGTGGTGTTTGCATTGCAAACAGAGCAGAGGAACATTTACTCTCAGAACATCCCTCAGCTTTTATGAAATGTGGTGAAAACTCTGTTTAAGCTATATTTGAGGCCTTGTGTACCTGACAGTGTCCCTTTGAGAGATGAGTTGAAAATAACTGTTGATAATTGAATGATTTGTTTCTTCTGAAGTGGCTTCTGATTGATGACATGAATTTTTTTTTTAATGCATGTGTTAATGATGAACCTGAGTGTTTGTTTGTTTGTTTGTTTGTTTTTTTATGGGTTCATAGGCTGTGATAAAAGCCCAAGGGCCTCTCTGGTACAAAGAATCTGTCTCTGAAATTTCACACTGCCAGGTCCTTTCCATTCTTCCTGGCTTTGGTACAGGCTCACCAGCCTTTCTTGATGCACTGGTGCTTTTGCAAAATGAGCTGTTTTCCAACCTTTGTATAGTTTGTGGTTTGGGGGAGATCTTTGTGGTTTGGTCCCAACTCCGTCCCGTGGTTTCCCCATCCCCATTTTAGCAGTGGCTTTAATGCCACTTTGGCGTGCAGGTTGTCAGTGGACTTGCTGCTTAGCCTTGCAGGCAGGGGCTGGTTCTACTGCAGTAGAATAACTTCTTTCTAAACTGGGCATGCAGCCTATGACCAATATTTAAATTAGCCCTTTCTGGGAGGGGGAACATCCTTGCAGCTCTGAAGCTACTGTCAGTATTGACACCTCCTATGTCCACCTGGCTCCTTGGGGCTAAGTGTGTGCAAGGGAGGGGGCTGGCTTTCTTGTAACATGGGCCTAGCGAAGACTTTGGAGGTGTTTCCATCTCCTGGCTCAAAGCTGAGCACTCGGGAGTTGCCTGCTACAGCTTCAGAGCCTACAAGTAAAGTCCTGCATGGCAGGTGGAAGTTGGTCCATTGTCCCGAGTCTTCTGCACCACATGGGGATGCTCGGGGAGCTTGTATGAAGGGGCAGGGTGTGTGGCCAGGTGCGGATCTGGGAGAGAGTCCTCACTGCAGGGAATCGTGCAGTTCTGAAGTGACTCCGCACGGTTGCTGCCCTTGCATTTAAATGTGCTCTGGTTTCCTTTCTCTCTCTGTCTTCCAGGCGATCCCAGGTCATTGAGAAATTCGAGGCATTAGATATAGAGAATGCTGAGCACATGGAAACCAATGTGTTGCCAGGTTCTGCCCTCTCCAGTGAGACACGCCAAGGCAGGAGTGAGAAGAGGGTATTCCCCAGGAAGCGGGTAAGGCTCTCGGCTTCTGTCAGGCATGAGGGTGCGCTCAGGAGGTGGGCTGGTGGCTTGGATCTAGCATGGCTAAGATTGGCCCGGCTGATGTTCCTACTTGGGACCTGTGTGCAAGGAGCATGGTCTGGAGGGCGTGGGAAACGGATGCGTGGCTAAAGCAAGCCATAAGCTTGAGGGCGGTAAATCTCATCAGGAACCCAGGCAGGTTTGCTGCCTGCTTCCCAGTCTCCTGCCCACTATGGAACCAGAGCAGAAGATAAATCATGTTCTTGTCTCTGCCTCCCAAAAAAGGAGAGGGAGGCATCAGGTCCAGCAGGGGTGCCAGGGCACATTCAACTGAAAGAAATGGGCTGTGTTGAAAACCCTGCAGCACGAAGTGTCAGTAGACGTGTTGGAGCCAATGTAGTGCTTTGACTCCATCTAAGACAGCCGTGTGCTTGCAGAAGCTCAAAGGCAACCCAAGGCGCCACCTCACCAGCTTTAATTTTTGAGGCTAAAAAACACATCATGGCTGCACAGTTCTTGCAGTGCTCGGAGACTAGACTTGTTCCTCTGGGCTGTCATGATGATCTGGACTCCTTCTCTTTGCAGGACTCCGAAACAGCAGCAGTAGGCTCCATCCCAGAGGTCTCTGCTTCCCCTTTGTCTCCACACCGTAGAGCAAAATCACTGGATAGAAGGTCCACGGAGTCCTCCATGACGGTAAGCCCGGTGGTCATACCTGGATGTGGCAACAGAAGTGCTGCTTTAGGTGTGAATGGAAACAAAGCTTCTAGTCTCAGCATTAGGCTTGTGAGAACCCCCCTCCTGTCCCTTGCCATCATCAAGGAGGACGCAAGGTCATATTCAGATCTGATGTAAAAAGCTGCAATTCCAGTGACTTGAACCTGATCTAAACTTGGCCTCGAGTGTCATAAAGACACCCCCTGTTTTATCTCATCCATGCCAGTGCTGAAGCCTGAGGAGGGATTTGTCTTCCTTAGAGCACTGAGCAGATGCAGCAGCCTCTTGGGAAACCAGTGCCTCAGGTCCTATTCGGCATGTGATTTCCCCCCTGCATAAAAGCCACCTCCCGAGCGCTGTGGTTGGCTGTTGTGGCGTCACGGAGAGGTTCATTTCCTTGCGTGTCCCATTCTCCCTGCTGTACTCCGGATCAGTGCCACCCCTGACAGCCCACTCAGTTTGCCACTCACAGGCTGTCAGAGGCTGCCTCAGACTTTTCCCCCGCGTGCCTCCCTTCCCCCTTAGTTTGCAGCTCCTTCTGTCAAAGTGACTGAAATTCAGTCTTTATTGCACTCACTGGTTTGTTTCTCCGCATCTCTGTAACCTTGTGATCCCAAGAGTCTCCTGAGGACTGGGTTAGCTCTGTCAGACTGGAACATTTATCAGGCAAGTCTGTCTTCTCAGACTCAGGGGGAGGTGCGAGCTCATCTCCTTTGCCTCTGTCCTCAGGCTTTCCTGGTGTGTGCAGCTCGTTCCCTGCCTGACAGCTGTGTGCGGGTTTGAATTGCAGAGGCCTCTCTCAGGCCTGTCTCCACCTGTCCCTTCTGTCTGCAGCCCTCTGCTAATGCTGGTTGTGGGTCAGTGTCTGTAGCTCCAGCGTCGGTTCTCCTCGAGTTGCAGCTCTGGTGCTTTGCCAGAGCCATGTGCGCGCTGTGCTCGGCTGCACATGTGGCATGCGGGGATGCTGGGTGTACTGTTAGCATCCTGAGTGAACTGTTCACAGTGGTTGAACAGCTCTGCTGGCTTCACTCATCCCACACCAGTTCTTCAGTGTTTTAGTCAATCCCTGTGGTTCTACTGCCAGCGTCTTTGTGGTAGCTTTCCAGGCTGCCTCCTCAACAAGGACCGTCTGATAAGATGGGGTGGCTGTCTCCTACGCAGCTGTCCTCCATGCAGGCTGGGGGGGTGCGCAGCTATTGCTGAATCTTTCTCGGGTCCTCCTAGGATCCTGCAGTATGTTTGATAGTGGCCTTGGTATTTCCCATGGTACTGAGCTGAGGTGGGGTCATTGCCTAACAGGAGCACTGGTGCTGGGAACCAGCTGGACTTAATGGATTTGTGTAGGCAGGCTTCCTTTCCTCTGCTCTCCAGTTTGCAGTTGCCACTAGATTTGGGCTGGGTTGTGGAAACCTGGCTTCTCTTCCCCTCTTCCTCCTCCACTTCCAGCTGCTCCTCTGACTTGTTCCTGCTGGGAGTTTTCTAACCCCAAACTCCTGGCACCCATCACTTTCATAGCAGCAAGTTGCAGTGTCCTAAACCCAGGACTGTAGCCCGCTGCATGCCAGTGCACTGAACAGGGGGACAAGGGATCTGGCTCATTGCTCTATGGAGAAGTCCTCTCTTCTTAGAGTGAAATGCTTGTTGCTACGACCTGGCATGAAACCCTTCTCTGAGGAAATCTGACCAGGGCTCCATATGGGGTGGTGAGATGCTGGGATTCCCTCTACTCAAGCCCTTAGGGTATTTCGAGGCCTCGTAAATCAGAGCCCAGCCTTATTTTGAGTCCTGCAGCACCACATGACTGCCAGCTGCCAACCATGCCCAGCCGAGTTTATAAATAGAGCCAGAGAAGCAGGGAGTGAGTGCTAGGAGAGTGTGTGGATGGCAGACTCATGAAGGGCCACAAGGAGAAGGTAGGCCTGGACTTCCTTCCCACTGGCTGCTTAGGAGCTGTTGGGTGGGGGGGAGACATCTGGCTTCTGAAGAGAAACCCCCCTTCCCCTCACACCAGTGAAGGGTTGAACATTTTAGAGAGTTTTGCCTTGGTTCTGTCTGGATGAGGCAAAAGCTGGTGTGCAGCTCCTGGAATTGAGCAGTTACATCGTGTCCCATCAGATGTGCCAAGGCCCTGCCCCTGTAAGGCACGGCCTGGGCAGCAGCTGGCAGCAGCTTGGCGGGAAACAGCAGAGAAACCTGGCAAGATATTCTGGAGGAATAGAGCAGACCTCACATTGTCACTGCTGTCTTCTCCCACTGCCCCCTCCAAGAGCATGTGGTGTCTGGCCAGCCTGAAGCCAGTGCCATGGGAAAGGGTGGGGGTGGGAATTTCTTGAGAAGGTTCCTGCCGGCACCATGGTTGCTGTTGAGGAAACTCCGCTGTGCTGGATTCCAGCATAGCCCTGCCCCATTGTCCTCGATCTTGGACCAGCCAGACTAAAACCAGAAGAGTTTTGGCTTAAGAAACTTGTGTGGGATTGGGTAGCTTGGGCCCATTAGCCAAAACCTGGGTGGACCCCTACAAGCTGGTCAGAAAGCATCTGGAGCCTTGCAAAACTAGCCTTCACCCAGAGGCAGCACACCTTCTGTCTGCTTTCCAGAGAGGACAGATTTCCATCTCGCTGATCTGGGCCAGTTTTCTTGGTGCATCTCTGCTCCCAGTTGTGCTCCCCCCTGCACTTTCCCAGCTGCTGTCTTTTTATTTGTTTTGTGTTGGGTGCCTCCAAGAAGGAAATGGGGCTTGCAGACCTGTCCTGTTCACCCCCCAGGCAAGGCCACGGCTCTGCGTTGCTGTATGCCCAAAGGATTGGGGATACAGAATATCTCCTCCCATCAGCAACCCTGGGAAATTCAGCCCTTTCTGAAGGGGACCATGCAAGGAGTGACAGCAGGGCAGACTGTGCAGCCTGCCTCCTAGGTCACGTACGGCCTGGGCCATGATGGCTTTGTCTGGAGGAGCTGTCTTCTTCATTAGTCATCAGGGATGTAAAGGCTGGCCATCCTGCTAATACCGGGTGCTGCAGCTGCTTCCTCCAAGGGAACTATGTTGGTACTGGTGGCATGGTGAGACACAGGAAGGTGAATGCTGGTGCAGACACAGCCTGAGCAAAGCATGCTGTGGGGTCTCTTTCCTCTTCCAAGAGCTGAAGTTTAGCCCCTGCCTTCTGCTCTGGTGGCCCCAAATCCCCTTGTTCTGGCTTTCCCTATGGCTGGGTTATATTTCATGAGAACATTGCTGTGGTATTTCTTCTCAAGGGAGCTAGGAGCTGGCACGTCATCTGAACCCTTAGAGAGTCTTAAAGTTTCTGTCTTTTCCCTCTCCTTGCAGCCCGACCTGCTGAACTTCAAGAAGGGATGGCTGACGAAGCAGTATGAGGATGGGCAGGTAAGTCCAGCAGGCACTGGCCTCTTTGGTTGCCCTGTTGACCAACTGACCACAACAGCCTCGCCTCGCCTCGCCTCATAGTCATCCCCCTTCCACCCCCATATCTGTATGGGGTGGCAGGAGGATTTGGCCTCCCCATCGTGACTGGGAGCATTCACCTGCCTACATGTTGTGACAACACCCAAAACCCAAGTAAAAGGCCTGGGGTCATGGGCTGGCAGGAGAGGTTACTTGTTAAACATTAACAGGAAAGGCTTCCACCTGCTCAACTAGGGGTGCACAGCACAACCTCAGCCTCCAGGGCTTTCTGCTTTGTTTGTAAGCCTTTCCTGAGGGCAGCTGCAGCTGTGTGTGTGTGGACGAATGTGTATGTGCATCAAATGGTTTTAGGTCTCTTCTGCTCTGCATGCCATGCTCAGCGCTTCTGCTTTCCAGCACAGCAGGTCGGTATTAGCCCTGTTCTGCACAGAGATGTCCTGGCAACCCCAGCTGTGTGAGCTGTGTACAAGTCAGATCTGCCCTGGGGGAGGACTGGCTGGTGCTGTGCCCCGGGGTGGGGGAGGCAAGTTCAGGGGCCTGCTTCTGGGGTTTAGCTTGGACTGTAAGCACTGGGTTTCTCATTCTCTATTAGTCTCCCCTCCTTTATGGCCACTGCCTGTTCAGCCTCAGCGTCCAGGTGCAGAGGAGCCTCTCCAGGCCTCAGGGAAGCAACTGGGCAGAGAAAGAAATGGAATAAAAATGTCCTCATCAGGCACTAATGGGAGCACTCCATGAGGGGATGCAGGGAAGTGCTGTATCATGGGAACCCTCAAGGCTGGCAGTTGCTGCTGACCTGGGAACTAGGAGTGAGCTTGTGCTGCTATTTATAGTGGCGCCCTCCTAGATTTTCTTGCCTTGCAGCCCCCCCACCCTAGCCTGTGCAGAGGAGGAAGAGGGCTGACTCAGCAGCAGGGGGGTGCAGGATCTGGCACCTGGGGGATCGGGGGGTGTTCGTCCACCCTCCCTTCAGAGCACCACAGCCAGCAGGAGGACGACTGAAAACAGCACCTTGCCTGTTGTGTGTTTGTTCTGTGCATCTGATCTGCGATCTCACTCTCTCCCCTCTGAGCTTTGCTCTTTTGCCGCTCCAGAAACCCCCAGTACTAACATCTGGGATCATAATGAAGCTGGGTCTTCAGTGACCTATGAATTTGAGGCCCAGGTTGCAAGTTTGGTAGGATTCAGTTTTAATTGGAAGATATCTCTTGTAATCTCTCTCTCTCCTTGCATCCAAACACAGAAAAAAAAATCATCCAAATGAGAGAGAAAACTGAACAATTCCCTTGTTAATTTGGCTCACAGGGGGACGGAGGGGGAGACCACACTATGGTCTGTCAGATCTCCCCAGCAGTTAGTCCAGGAATCAATGTTTGTGAAACGCTGATATTTAGCTGCAAGGTCCTAAAGGACAGGCCCACCTGTGGGTTCGTGACAAGGAGTTTCACTAGTTTGTGTCCCTCTGTCATCTCCTGCCATATGCTCAGATCACAAGCTCTTTGGGGCAGAGGCACGTTTTAGTTCTGTGCTTAGCCATCACCTAGCGCAGTGTGCTCCTGGCCTATGACCAGGGCTGTGAGACGCTGTGGTGATGTAGATAGTAATGGTGCAATAGTTCCATCTGAACAAAGCGAGGGGAAATAACTGGAAATAATAATGAGAATTTGGGCTTCTCATCCAGTATAACAGAACTACTTAGACACAGGGGCAGGGTCCATGTACCTGGGTTATGTTAGCTGCATAGAGCAGGCCTAGCTGCATGCACAGCCAGCACTAAATGGGGTTCTGGCAGAGTGCGGAAACACAGGGTATGTCTGCATTGCAGGGCTGGCCCTTCTTATGGACATTCTGGGCAGTTGCCCTGAGCAGCAGAACTGAAAGATGGTGGTTTTAGAGCCAATCAGCAGCTTGTGTTTGCTTGGTGGTGTTAGCTGTGTGAGCTTGGGGCTGGTGTATGATGCCTGTCAAAGGTCAAAAGCAACGAAGATAGTCTTTCCAGGGCTACGAAGGCAGCCATTAAAGTCATCCCCTTGCCTCAACTGTGTGCTGCGATTGCGCCCAGGTGCTCACACTGGGTGTCTCTGGAATTGTTATGGGCCAGTGTTCAGTCAGCTAAACAGGTGTTGCCACCCAGGGGTGGGCTGGGCTCCCACAGACGAAAGCCATGTACTGGGCCCATCCCAACTTCCCCTTCTCTCTTGCTCCTGCAAGAGTGTGCTGGGCTCACAGCTACTGCCCAGAGTTGGCCTTGGCTTTGCCACCTTCTGAGATGTCGTGCAGGGGGAGGGGATCACCCTCTGTTTGGTCCTTACCCAGTGATACCTGTTGCCCCAGGCAGGGGTAGAGTGCAGCATGTTGAAGAGCCTGCCTTGTTTGTTTCCTAGTGGAAGAAACACTGGTTTGTGCTGACGGATCAGAGCCTGAGGTACTACAGGGACTCAAAGGCAGAAGAGGTAGGTGTCTCTCTCCTCGGAGTCTAACCCTGTTTGTTTCAGGGTCCAAGGAGTTGCAGGTGTTTTGTATGGGTCCTTCACCCAGCATTCCTCCCCACGAGCATGTGTGCATCCTAGTGTCCAGGATCCTCACTGGCTGCCTTGCAAGAGAGCTAGAATGTCTGGGAGCACACCCAGATGGACGGTGCTCCTTGCTTCCAGCCGTGGGAGAAGCTCTGGCCAGGCCCATCCTTAACCTCTGAGTCCTCAAAGATTTGGGGAGATACAGAGCTGGGTGCACCACCTCTGTCCTGAACAAGCGTTTTATTGCTCAATGTCCCAGGTCCACAGGTCCCTCGATGGGGCTGAGAGCACATCTGATGTCTCTTTTAGGTTTGTGCCACTCTGGGGTCTTCAGCTTTGTCTCACCAAAGTGATACTGAGGTTCAGGCAGACCTCGAGAGGAAAACTCAACAGCTTCTTGTTAAGATGCTGCTTTAGGAAGAAAGCCCAGTGCCCTGTCACATGCATGTACTATGGTTTTGGTTTGCAATAATCCTTCAACCTTTCCCTCTCGTTTCACCAGGCAGCTGATTTGGATGGAGAAATAGACTTGTCTACGTGCTATGATGTCACTGAATACCCAGTTCAGCGTAACTATGGCTTCCAGATCCACGTAAGGACGATTCAGAGAGGGGAACTGGTGGAAGCAGGGGGTGGAGTGGGTGTGGCAGGTACTTTCTTATCAGAACAAACTAGGGAGCCCATCTCCAGCAGCTCCCAGTGCTGGATGGATGATAACAAGGTGGAACCATTCTTCTTGTATATCTCATGGTGGAGGCTTGCCCACAGTGACCACCCCTCTCCAGGTGGGGACCAGCCAGTGCTGGTGGTAAGATCTGGGAAGAAGTGAAGGGGATGTCTGTGAGAGCTCATTCTCTGAGCCCACCAAAGATAATCTCGATGACAGACACTGATATACACCAAGCAGTTCTATTTTGGGTCTCAACCATGGTTTCCATCCTGAGCCTCCTAAAGGGGGCCCTAGGCAGCCAAGCCCCGTAGGCAGTGTGTGGGAATGGGCTGTTGCAGCCTGGGTGGAAGGAAGGAGAGTGGCTGTTTGCCATGCTGACCTGCCCCCTCCTCTTTCCCTAGACTAAAGAGGGGGAGTTCACCCTCTCCGCAATGACGTCTGGAATTCGACGGAACTGGATTCAGACAATCATGAAGCACGTTCGCCCCACCACTGCTCCCGATGTAACCAGGTAAAGGACTAGGAACAGCTGCACCCAGGGAGGGATTTCCTGCTCACCCCTTATAACCACCCCTGTAGCTCTCTGGCTTGCTGTACAGAAATAACCCTGCCCATACCTCTTCCTGACTCTGCTCCTTGTTGGTTTTTCTCACCCTCTCCTGCTTCCCTCTCTCTTTCTGGGCTCCGGTTGGACACACTGTGTGGGGAACGAGCCTGCATCAATGGTTACTCTTGGCTGCGTGTGCAAAATCCAAGGGGTGGCTTAAAACACGTCCCATCACTTTCCCATGTGATAATGCTCCTTTGGCTTCTGGGCCTGGGCTCAACTCTAGGGGCAGTTCAGCATAACTAGCCTGTTGGCTCCAGGGGGCAAATACCTGCATTTAAATCGGAAGCTGCTTTAATTCATTTTGTAGACCATGCCCAGTGAGAAGTCCTAGGCCTCTGACCTGCCAGACGGCAGCGATCGCTGCTTCTCTTCACACCTTAGATTGAGGAACCTTCTCCAGTCTCACTTGCCAATAGAAGGCACCCAGAAATCTCACTGTACCTGTTGAGAGCCTGCAGCTCTGAGCAAAGCCCTTGACCTTCTTGCAGCCAAATGCCATCACGCGTCACCGCTGCAGCAAGCTGTGCACATCCTGATGCCCAGTTCCTGACCATCTGTTGTGCAGTGAGTTGGACTCACCCACACGATTAATGCCCTCTTCTCCTGTCCCTGCTCCAACGGAAGCAAATAAAGGCTCTGCCTGATTTTGATGGCACCACTAGAAGAGTTCTGTCCCCGCTCCCCGCATCCCCCTCCCCCCCAGTGCTGTCTAACCGGAGGTGTTCATGTTATATCTCTCCCCTACCTGCACCGCTTAAACACCCGCCCTCAGACAGAGCTGTGTGGTGGATCTCTCATGGGTCTCAGGGAATCGTCCTCTCTCCTCACTCCTGCATATGTTTGATTTCCATGCATTCCCAGGAAAAACTTCTCTTTGAAACTATCGGTGCTGAAGCCCAGGTTGGAAAACTGTGTTCTCTCCTGTATTAACGTTTTGTGGTTTGTATACCTTGTGATTCACTGCATGCCCCCCTTTTCTGCACTTCAGATGGAAAGTCCCGCAGTTTTCATTTCTTCTTTTAAAACTGAAAAAGCAAGAAAGAAGGGAAGAAGCAACCTGGTTTTGACACTTGATTTCCCCAGATTGGTATCTTCCGATGCGAATAGATAGTGGTGATTAGGCCCAAGTGTATCAGAGGCAGTCACATCCTTAATGATTAACGTAAATTCCTCTTTTATTAAGTTGGCCAAAAGAATTCTCAATGCATGGCAGAATGTTTTCAGCTCCGTGAGGATCTGATTAGCTTTGTGAGTAAGAAGTATTTTACCATGGGGCTGAATGTAAACCCCTTCCACTCACAACTGTAAATTGAAACCATCAGATAGGAGTGCTGGGCCCTGTGCGCTGGATGCCATGTCACTAATGCAGTGATGCCCTTTGCCCTAGTGCGCATGTGGCATACAGCAAGGGGCTCAGTGTATCGTATGTACCTTGCTGCACGTTGCTAGCATGCACAGGCTCTAAAATGAGTTCTTGAAAGTGGGGATTACTCAAGAAAAATTAATGGCAACCTCTTGGCCTTACATAGCTGTTCCCCCCTTTACAAGCCAATGCAGTCTGATCCTCTTGGTTTGATTTGAAATTCCACTTGTCCCACTTTACCCATAACCTGGTCCCTTGGGAAACTGCTGGCAGACGTGACTGGAGTACGTTTTGGGTCATTCTGCTGCGCAGGAGCATGGTGGCATTGATCCTCTCTGGGCTGGAGATGGGGGCAGCACCCCAGACTCTTTTCTCTCCTAATTCTCTTTTCCATTGTAAGACCCCTCTCATTTAAAATGTGGCTTTATCCAGTAACAAGCTGTAGCCGGAGTGCCTGGTTTTCAAGAGCACTTTGGTATCATCCTGGATCTCCTTAGGGTTAAGGCCCAAGGGGGTGAAACCAGCTCTGAACTGGAGCTGGGCAGCTTTGTCACATTGGATGGGGTTTGTTTTGTGGTTGCACGTGGCAGAGCTGAAGAGTGAATCCTCTCCAGGCTGGTTGCAGAGACAAACTTGCCATGGCCCAAGTGTTTGAAAGCTCAGCCTAGCTGAGCTGGACGATTGACTGTGGAAGGAAGTGCATCGGAAGATACTAGGGTTGGAACCATGCAGTACCATTCCCCCGCGTCGTTCTTTTCTTTGCAAGATGCACACATATATGAATATGTTTTGGGGGCTGGCAAGGGGGTGGGGAGATGCATTTCTGTTGTAAATGCTCTAGGGGACCCCACTCCTGTTCGGCCCTCTCCCGGTGGTGGTGGTCTTCATGCATGGAGCTCCATCGTTAGGTACCGTGTTAGCCCCGATTTGGCTGCACTGCAGACCGGACAGAATGGCTTTGTGGCTCCGTTCGCTCTGTCTCCGTGGAAAGCCAGGGAGCTTGATACTCAGTGCTGTGCTATTAGCACAACTGGGGGGGTGGAGGGTGCGCTTACCTTCTACAAGGCAGCTCTAGGGCAGAGGGAGGGAGGGGACAGTTATTGTAGAGCTGCGGTTCTTGGGATTCTGGTAACAGCCAGGCCTGAGCAAATGCCTGCTGCTCGCTTCAGGACAGGAGTCTTCTGTGGGAAGCTAATTCCATGGAGCTGGCTCAGGGCACTTTCATTAATTGGATCTTATTTTTCTTTTTGTTTAAATCCAACCTGCATGCTCCCAGGCCAGCATGTCTGCAGTTGTTTAATACATGATTCTAGATGATCCGTAGAGGTTTGAAGATGAATCTCCTTTCCCTACTAACACTTGCCCTTTCCTGCTTGGCAAGGATGCACCTTCCCTCACTTTGACCCCGGGCTCAGCACCAGGAGGTCCCTTTAGGCTGCCCAAGCAGCTGATGTCCTTGGTGACGCTTGTGGCCATGTGCACAAGAACTCTTGGTCCTCGCAGCATCTGCAGCGGCACGTTGGAGTGTGCGGTCTCCCTCGTGGAGGCCGACATCGCAGAGCCCTGCTGTACAGAGAAGCAAGCCTTTGCCAAGCTCAGACAGCAGCGCTTAGCTTATTAGCCAACACCTCTCAGGGCCACTGTATGCTTCCCTGTGTCTCTCCTCCCACCACTGCTAAATGGCAGCCTGCTCCTCTTCCTTTGGGAGCTGTACCCTGGCACCTGTGAATCCATGGTCACCTTGGGAGTGACCAGTAGCAGCAGCATGACAAGAGTGTGACCGTGGCTTCACTGAGTTAGCTAGGAGGAAGGAGCAGGTTGGTCAGAAAGTCTGGGCCTTGGAGGGGCAGAAGGTCACTGGCTGGCATGGCAGGAATGTGGCCTTCAAATCCAGCCTGTCAGTGATGATAGCTGGTGCCTGATACTCTGCCTTAGCCCAGTTCTGGATGGACAGGTGCCCACATCCAACCAGCTGGCACTGTTGCTGCCTTCCTTGTGGCTGGTATCTGCAAAGGAGCCCAAGGCCCCCAAATGAGGAAGGCAGAGAGGAACCCCTAGAGCTCCTTTGTTGCAGGTCTGGCTGGGTTGGGAATGGTGAGCCCACTGAGCCACAGCTGTGGCACAGCGGCTTGGGAGCACCCTGGGAAACTTCACTGCTGGCTGTCCTCTGCCTGCTCTGTGCATCAGTTACAAGGCTTCACTCCCCAGCGGCATCAGCCTGGCTCCTTTTGCCAGTGCTGACTTCACGTGTGGAGCTGCTGGGAGAAGGGAGGAGAGAATTCCGTGGCAATGGGAGAGGGATGCACATGACCGCACGTGGCGTTCAGGCAGGCTTAGTCTCCCATTTGCTTGCCTGCCGCAGTGGCTGTTTGAGGCGTGAATGGGCAGTGGTTCGTGCCACAACGCAGCTCTGAGTGATGACGTCTTCCCTTCTTTGTCTTTCCTTGTAGTTCCTTGCCAGAGGAGAAAAGCAAAACCAGCTCTTCCTTTGAGACCTGCCCAAAACCAAGCGAGAAGCAGGACTCAGACCAAGCAGAGATAGACCCTGAGCAGAGGCGGAGCCGGGCTCGGGAACGCAGGAGGGAGGGGCGCTCCAAGACCTTTGACTGGGCCGAGTTCCGCCCCATCCAGCAAGCCCTGGCGCAGGAGAGAGCCAGCACGGCGGAGTCTGCCAAGAGCGGCACCCCCACCTTCCCCAGGGAACCCAGTGTGTTGGACACAGATGCTGGGGAGCTGGAGAGGGAGCGCGCACGGCGGCGGGAGGAGAGGCGCAAGCGTTTCGAGATGACTGATGCTGTTGATGGGACAGGTTCGGAAGATGTGCTGCGGATGGAGGTGGACAGGGTCCCAGGCCTGCCTGTCACTACCGACGTTAAGCCGCAGAACGTTCACGTGGAGATCGAGCAGCGGTGGCACCAGGTGGAGACGACCCCCCTGCGCGAGGAGAAGCAGATCCCCATCATGCCTCTGCACCTGACGCACTCGGAGGACAGGGAGGACAGACTCTCCAAGCACCACCTAACCACGCTGCTGGAGAAGGAGGTAATGGGGGAGCCTGAGCCATGACCTGTCTTAGCCTGTGCTGTGAGAGGTTTGCAACTGTGAAATGAGCAGTAGGACAGCTCAGGCCAGTGGCTGCATTTCAGTCCTGTGTCAGGAGCAGAGGTGGTAAGTGGATGCTGCAAGGCCTGAGTGAAAAGATGCAGAACCCAGATCCATGTCCCTGGCATTCCCCTTTCCCCCTCATTTTGGTTGCGATCGCAGCTGTCACAGTTCCTGCCTGGATGGTTAGTACAGTGGGCAGAGATGACTGTAGCAGGGTGCCAGGGCCCAGGGCAAAATCAGCCTGTGCAGGGCCTGAACGCAGCAGCGGGGGTGGGAGGGTGGCGAGTGGCTGGATGCAAAGTCAGCCCAGCTCCATGGGGCCCCCCACAGTGCAGGGCCTGGGGCAGTCGCCCCAATTTTTGCCCCCCCAGGATGGCCCTGGGAGTGGGGACCCTTTGTCCTCCTTTTCCAACCAATCCATCCTGTAGTGATAGGGGCTGCGGATTTTGCTGTTCAGTAACAAGTCTCCCATGGGGGGAGCTGGGCATTTTCCCTCTGGAGAGCAGGGTTCAAAGGTAAGGATGTGACTACTCCGCCATTCAGCTCTGCATTCCAGTCCCATCCTTGAATGTGATTCTGCATGGGCAAATGTGAACACGCAATGCCTTGGCTAACCTAAACGCCTCTGGAGCATACGAAGATGGGTGCATTTTTCTAGACCAGTGGTTCTCAACCTTTTTAGACTTGAGACACTCCTGGATAGACTTGGCACACCTCTCGGGAAATGCCAGCTCTTATTTCTCACTCTTTTTTGCCTACAGAAAAATAACAGTAGGTTTTTCTGTCGCAAAGAACTTAGAGAGTCCACAACTGTGGATTCCTAGTTGAAATCTATGGGTTTATCTTGTGAATCGTGTTTGCAAACCCGATTGCTACTATTTTGTGGCATCCTAGAGCACCCTTGAAAAGATCTTGAGGCAACCCAGGCAGCCTGGTGGAGGATCACTGATTTAGACCCTCTTTGCGGAGCCAACATTGAACAGTCTTATGTTTCAGGAATGCCACAAATTAGCTTTTTCTTAAGTCCTTAGGAGAGGTGGATGGGAAGCACAATTTGCTTGGAATAGACCCCAGTCAGGAACAGCAGGGGTTGTGGGCTGCAGAGCAGTCATGGGCCTGGGTTTAGAGTAGCCAGGTGAGTTGCAAATCAGAGATCCGTTGAGGGCGGAAATCTGCACAGCATTGGCTGGGCCATGCCGGGTTCCAATGAGGGGAGTTCATCCTTCACTTCAGCGAGCCTTAAAAATGAACCCCATTGACAATGTTATTGTTGCTAGGAGGGGTTTTGGCAAAACAGATAAGGCCCAAATTACAGAGGGAGGAGAGAGAGCTCAGCCTACTCCACACAGAGCAGCTGTGTACATCTTCCCTAGTCAATGCTTTTTGGCTCTTTGTTCTTTCCCAACAGCTGGAACAGAGCCAGAAGGAGGCATTGGACCTGCTTGAGCAGAACCGGCTCCTGCAGGACCAGCTGAAGGTGGCTCTGGGCCGGGAGCAGAGTGCCAGAGAAGGCTACGTGTTGCAGGTAGGAGGATGGGGAAGGAGAGAGACGTCTCCTTCATCTGTCACTGGACCTGAAAACAAATCTGTTGGGCTTCAGTCCAGGGCACTCATGAACACATCTGGGTTAGAGTGGAAATGTGCAAAACTGACCACATGGCAAGACTTGGGTCTTTCTTACATGTCACCGTCCTCCTCCGCATCCACAAGGTCAGGTCTTCAGCTGTTCTTTTATGGTCCCAGTGGGAGATGGATGGGGGGTCTCTGCCCACAGCTCACCCGAGAGCAGCCAGTTTAGCCAACAGCAGGAGCCCTGGTCTCTGCAGGGCTCAGAGGGAAAAT